CTCAGCCTCCTCTAGCAGCTCCTCGCCCCGCTCCTGGGGCGCCACTTCGCTGGGCCCTGCGGCTCTTTCCTCTGGCGGCCTACTAGCCCCCCCCCGTCCTCGTCCGCGGCCTTCCCCTCCCAGGCGGCGAGCTGGCGCCTCCTGGCGCCGCGGCCGAGCTGGCCTCGGCAAGGCGCCCGAAGCTTCGCCAAAACCAGCTCGATGGCCAAGCGTCCGTACTTCGCGCCGCGCCATCTACTCTCGCCATCCGGCCACCTCGACGGGCGCGTCTCGCATGGCTCCGCGCCGTAGCAGCTGACAGATCTCCGTCTGGCCATCCTCATCGCCGTTAGCGCCCGCCCATGCATCACTGCACCGTACATGAGCGACGCCACTGGGCCCTGGCGCACGGCCCCTCGTCTCTTGCGCAGCTTGAGCCTCTTCAACTTGGCCCCTGCTGCGCCCGACCTCCTGTCCGCTGCCTTCGCCCTCTGCGCGTGGGTGGCTCTCCTGGGCGCCCCTCGCACCGCCGCGTCGCCACCAAGGCCCCTGTCTTCCTCGACCGCCTTTACCTCCTCGCCCCGCCTCCTCAGCGCCAGCTGCACCTGCTTGGTGGCGCGGCATCTCGCGCTGAAGATGACCGTCTTGCCCGCCCGCCTCAGCCCGCGTAGCTCCAGCCCGCCCTTGAAGGCCCTCGCTGGCGCGACGAGCTGCCTCCTCGCCTCGGGCCCGCTGCCCATGATGCGGGCGCCGATGACGACGCATTCAAACCGCGCTCTGGTCCGGGGCCGCGGCGCGCCGCAGACCTTCCCCTTCGCGCAACACAACGCCCCGCGCACCGCCATCTTGGCGGTGTTGTTGGAGCGCCGCGAGCCCTCCAGGACGGAGCGGTCGGCGCACTGCGGCCCCGAGCGGCCCCCCTTCCACCTTGCGAATATCACGCTCGAGCGCTGTCACAGCTGCAAGGGCAGGATCCCGGGGTACAAGTCCATCTCGAGCGCCGCGGGGATGAACGTGTCGATTCTCAAGGTATCGTCGAACTTCCCGATGTCCGCGAGAACGCGCCCCTGGGAGACGCACAGCGAGTCGACGCACCTGTCGATGGCGATCCTCTGCGTTGCCTCTCGCAAGCAGCTGTTGCCTGCGACCGCTGCATCCCATGGGCGCCCCTGCCTCGCGGCCCGCCGATTGGCGGCGGGCCCGCGCAGCAGCCCCCAGGTGCGCGCCAGTTGCGGCGGCAGCCACAGCGCCCTGTCTCCTTTGATCTGCTTCGGGGCCAGCGCCCCCACCGCGCGCGGCAGCTGCCGAGGCCAGGCCAAACTCCACGCGCCGTCGTTGAAGAGGTCGACCAACTGCCGCCTTCCTGCCGCTGGGGGCCGCCTCCGATCGCAGCGCTGCAAGCGGTCGACCCCCTGCCATCTGCCTGGTTCGCCCTGGGGTGCCCTGTCCAGGTCCTCCAGCCCCCAGCGCGGCCCCCCCGTGTCCTGTGCTTTCAACCTCGGCGCCTCCAGCATCTGCCCGCGCGCGCTGCGGGCCGCTCCCTCGCATCCCCATATTCTCGCAACGTCCCTCGCCTTCCCGTCCGCGATCTCCTTCGGGCAGTTGGGGGCGAAGACCTCCTGTGCGTGGATCTTCCCCCCCCCCCCTGCTCGCTGGCGTCGCGATCCGACGCGGCGCTCCAGGCTGCCGCTGCGCGACCTCTGGCCGCTTGCAAAGCCTCTCGCGCTGGCCCCCGTGTCTCTGCGCGCCGCCCTGACCTTCTCCTCCTCCGCCTGCAGCGCCATGCCCAGCATGTCTGCAGCTTGTGGGCTGCCGCATGGCACTCTCCTCTCTGCTCGCCACCTGCTGCAGCCCTCATTGAGCTGGCAGCCTCTCCCTCGTCTCGCGAAGCGGCGCCTGTCACGAGGGTCGATGTGGTAGCCCATGGTAAGAAAACTGCCCCAGTGCGTCCATGGTCTGTGCGTTTTGCCATCCACGCTGCTCCGCCGCGACCGAGCGGACTTGGCATGCTGCCCACTCCCTGATGTAGCTAGGCGCATCGGCCTGGCTGCCCCCTCTGGTTGCTGTCCTGTCTGCCTCCCTCATGTCCCAGCGGCGCGGCGTCGACGTCCGCGGCCCCTGCTCGCAGCATCTCCACCCTCTCCTCTACGCTTGGCCCCTCTGCCTCACCTCCTCGCTCTTCCTCCTCGCTGGAGGGGTCGCCTCCTGAAGGCCCCCCCGTCGGCGGCTCCTCCGCGCTCATGGCGCCCTCCTTCTTGGCTTCGCCTCCGCTTGGCCCGGCCCCTCTCAGCTGCTCCTGGCATTCCTGTTTGTCGCGGTGGCCCTCCAGCTGCTCGGAAGGGCCCCCCTCGTCTGCGTTGAGACCTTGACGTGGAACCTCTCCAGGGCAGTGGTGGCGGCCCGGACTGACGTCCTGTCTACACTTCACGATGGCAAGCGCAGTCAGTGGCCGCCCCGACCCCGCGCCGCCCCCGCCGCCCCCCTCCGGGGGTCGCGGGGCCCCCTCCGCGCCCCCCCCCCGTGCCGGCGTGCGCAGCCAGCGGCTTGGCCCTCGCAGGCAGCGCGCCGCCCCTCACAGGCTGCTGCTGGCGCTCCTCCTCTCCCTGGGAAGCCTTGCCCCCCGTGCGGGGCAAGTGCCTCCCACGTCTCCTTATTCAGCCTCGCCTCAACCTCAGCGCGGCCCTTTCCTGTTTCTCCCTGCTGCTTTGTCCTCCTTCTCCGGCTGCCTGCGCTGCCGCCAGGCGCCGCGGCTCCGATCTCGAACTAGCCCTCGCAGCCGTAGAGCACGCCCTGCCCCCCATCTTCACAAGGTCGCGCTCCGTCCGCCCTAGCGCCGCCTCCGCCCCGTGCGCCTCCTGAAAAGCGAAGGCGTTGCGGCCATGGGGCGTCGACTGTTACCTCATCCACAGCTTGGCTGTGGGTCCCCAGGTCGTGGGGTTCGCGAAACAGGGCGCGCGCCCACGAGGCCCGCCGCCGCCTCCTCTGCAACGGCGGGCCTCGCGCGACGTCTGTCAAGAGCCCGCTTCCTCGCTCGGGGACGCAGGTCCTTTGCCTTCGCACTTCGTGCGCGTCCCCTGCAGGAGCTCCTCCGCTCCCTTTGGCTGCGCCGCTCCTGCTGCGCTGCCACTCGCTGCTCCCCCTGGTGGGGCCGAGCTTGCTGCTGCTGCCGCGCTCCTCTCCGTCTTCGCATCCTCTGCGCGCGCTGCCTTCCGCTTCTTGGCCGCCTGCGTGATCGCCGCCTTCGCCTCCTGGGCCTTGGCCTCGGCTTGCTTCAAGTGCAGGCGGAGCTGGCCTGAGAAGGCCTGGGCGTTGGCCTGCATGTGCGCCACCACCTGCTCCTTCGCCGATGCCACCTCTCTCTTGGCCTCCTCGTCCAGGCCCTTCTCCTCGAGGTCCAACTCCGTCGCCAGGTCCGCCATCAGCAGGCTCTCAGTCAGCTCGTCCATCCGGCCACTGCCGAGCTGCTCCACGATCCCGTGGGTGACCTCCTTACCTTCTCTTTGGATTGCCTCGATGAGCCTCTCCGCCGCCAGCACTTCTTCCGCCTTCGCCTCCACGCGAGCCGCCGCCTTGGCCGCCTCCTCGTCTGCGGCCTTCTTCTCGCGGTAGGCGTCCTCGAACCTCCTGTTCGCCACGTCCAACTCCCTTGCTGCCGCCGCCAGCCTCACCCCTGTGGAAGGCGTGACCTTGGGCGGGCTGGCCTCCTGCAGCGCCGCGGCTGCTCCTGCGATCTGCGGACGTATCTGCTCACCGCTGGCCGACTCCATGGTGCCGATAATGCTGGTCACCAGTTGCAGTGCTTTGGCGAATTCCTCCGCACCTTTGCCCTTCTCATGGGCACCTCTGGGCTCCAGCTGCCTTCGTCTGTCCTTGCTCGTACTGCGTTCCCAGGGGCTGGTCTTGCACGCCGCGCTGGGACCCCAGTGGTTGGCATCCCCCGCTCCAGGCAGCTTCTGCCCGCATCTGCAGGTGTAGTAACTGTAGTACAAAGCCTCCAGGCGGTCGCTCCACCACCACTCGTTGCAGCTGTGGCGGACCACGTATGAGCCTCCCCCTTCTTTGCCACGTGCCTTGCCGCTGCCTGCACCTCCGCCGCGCCGCATCGGTGCCGCACTGCCGTGGTGCTCGTTGAGGCGCTCGGCGTCCTGCAAGTACCTCAGCCTCCTCCTCCTCCTCCTCGCTTCCGCTCTCAGGCGCCGTTCCCTGCGGTGCCCAGCGGGTGAGTGCGAGCGCACTCGGCGCCCTTCCGTGGGGCTGGGGGCTATGGATCCGCGGGCGCGCGCCCGCCACGGGCAAAATGCCTGCGCCCCGCGCAAGGCTGCGAAGCCACCGATGAGGAGGAGGAGGAGGAGGAGGAGGAGGAGGAGAAGGAGGAGGAAGAGGAGGAATAAGGAAGAGGAGGAGGAGGAAGAGGAGGAGGAGGAGCAGGAGGAGGAGGAGGTGGAGGAGAAGGAGGAGGAAGAAGAGGAACAGAGGCGCGCGTGGCTGGTGCCGCAGCTGTCAGCTCTCGGGTGCGCCGCCGTGGCGCCAGAATCGCACTGTTTCGACGGCGGCGCGCCATTCGCACTGATGCGGTGGCAACGCAGCTTGAGTCAACTTTGAGCTTCTGGCAGATATAGAAATTCAGAACTACAATCCGATGGCACCGCTGCCCATGATACTCGGATCCAGCGTCGGGTGGCATGCCCTGTCCAAGACGAGTGAGCGTGGAAGCACGAGGAGGAAGAGGCGGCGGAGGCGGAGGCGGAAGCGACGACCAGAAGGTTGGAGAAGGGTGGAGGGGCGAGCAGAAGGAGGCCAAATCATGCGATGATTTTACTTGTCCGATACAATCTACCCGGAACTCTGGATCATTTCTCCGAAGGCCGGTTTTCCGTCTAGAATCGATTTTTATGGTCCTAGGGCAGCCGAGAAAACTACCAAAATCCTTCCGTGATGATTTCTCCACGGAGCGGGAGCACGTCTGAAAAGAAGGCGTGAGGAACACGGCGGCGCACTGCCGCTTGGACTCCCTGCCGGGCCTTGGCCCGCCGGGAGGTCAGGCGCGAGGCAGGGTTCATGGCGAGCATGCCGCGGAGGAGGTCCATCCCAGCCGAGCCGAGCTCGGGGCGCCTTCCGCGGGCTTCTCAACATCGTGGGGGGGCTATGACGTTCTCGCGTCGTGTGTGGGCTCTGACCTTCTTTCTCCGTGTACATACATTCATACCTACAGACATACATACAACTATCCATACATCCATACATACATACAGAAAATGTACATGCATACGCACAGACATATATACATATATAAAAATGTGTGTATGTGTATATGTATATCTAGGTATGTGTATGCTTAACTATATGTATGTATATTTATGCGTAGACACACAACTGCATATGGATACATAGATGTACATGCATACAGGCAGACAGACATGCATACCCCCAAACAGCGCTTGTCTTTAAAGGTTCTTACTGAGGTGCCTGCAGAATTGGGTAGGTACGTCGGCGTTCCAGCTGGTGCCCTGTTGGTGCCGCCTAGTTGCCGCCTCGTTGCCGCCTCGTGCGCTGGGTGGGTGTTTCGGGATGTCGGCAGGAGCTCAGTTAATGTTGTCGCAACGTTGCTGCCTCGTTGCTGCCTCGTGCGCTGGGTGGGCGTGTCGGGGATTCGGCTGGTGCCCGGTTGCCCGCATCTCTAGCCACATAGCCTACACCACATAACTCACACATCCACATGCAATCCGCCGGCCCCCTTGTGGGGCCACCAGGCTGTAGGGCGAAGGTTCGCAGTTTCCTGTGCCAGTTTCTGCTTCCAGTTTCCACTGTTACAGTTCTGCTTCTTGCTGCTTAATGTTCCTTGTTGATGGACCGCGCGAGGGGGGGAGGCCCAAAACGGGCATTTCTACCACGCCCTGAACGTGTGCTCTTAATTGCTGGGGTGGGTAAAGATAAACACCCATCCCGCAGATCGGCGGGGTCAGGGTCCAAAAACACATGGGATCCGCCACATTTCTGACATTCGGTGGCACTCCTCACGCAGATCGGCGGGGTCAGGGTCCAAAAACAAAGGGGATCCGCCACACTTCTGACATCCGGTGACACCCCTCACGCAGATCGGCAGGGTCAGGGTCCAAAAACACATGAGACTCGCCCTGACATTCGGTGACACCCCTCACGCAGATCGGCGGGGTCAGGGTCCAAGAACACACGGGATTTGCTACATTTCTAAAATTCGCTGGCACCCCTCACGCAGATCGGCGGGGTGAGGGTCCAACAAATATAAAAAAGGATTTGCTACATGTTTGACATTCGGTGGCGCCCCTCACGCAACTTGGCAGGGTTAGGGTCCAAAAACACACGGGATTTGCCACATTTCTGACATTCGGTGGCACCCCTCATGCAGATCGGCGGGGTCAGGGTCCAAAACGCACAAAGGATTTGCAACATTTCTGAAATTCGCTGGCACCCCTCACGCAGATCGGCAGGGTCAGGGTCCGAAAACACAGGGGATTTGTTACAACTTAATATTCGTCGGCACCCCTCACTCAGATCGGCAGGGTCAGGGTCCAAACACACAAAGGATTTGCCACATTTCTGAAATTCGGCGGCACCCCTCACGCAGATCGGCAGGGTCAAGGTCCAAAAACACAAGGGATTTGCCACATTTCTAATATTCGGCGGCACCCGTCACGCAGGTCCGTAGGGTCAGTGTCGACAAACAAACAGGTCCCGACACTGCTTCACGGCGGCGCCCAGACCTCATGATTCAGCTTTTGCATCTCCCATTATCCGAGACAGGGGGCCGGCGGCATGGGGCGAAGCCCTGACGGATAACTTACCGTTCGGGCCCCATGCTAGCAAGCATACGTATACATGCACACATACATATGTACACATACATACACATACATATACATGCCGCACATACATGTACATGCACATATACCTGTCCATATACATATACAGAATGGCATGTACATGTACCGAACCGTAGGCATAAACATATGCAGACGCATATCCATATGCATACACACATACAAGTACTAGCCCCCCCATACATCTACAACTACATATATACACATTACACATACATCTATATATATATACGTAAACATAGACATACCGATATACATATACGAACGCATATCCATAGTCATATGAATATGCATCCACAGCTACACGTACGTATGCCTATGTAGTTATATATAGATATATGTGTGTACGTATGCGCAGAAATTGACAAACACATCTATATATACACATATATGCGTATGTAAATAGCATTAGCATGTGAATATACATGTGCCACTACACAGACCACTACATGTACATATGCATATACATATACGTATGCATGTACAACACGATGTCTATACATATGTACATCCACACATGCGTATGCATACACAGTTGCATATGCATGTGCATGCACATATACATACAACTGTACACATACATTGTAAAGCTGTGTAAATATATTATCATTCGCACCTCTCCGAGGGAGTAGAGCTCAGGGGCGATTGATGCATACGCGCCGCGTCGCTCGCGATGTTCCTGGCCGCTTCGCTAGAGACATTCTCGAACTTCTGAACATCGGTGGCACCCCTCACACAGATCGTGACGTCAGGGTCCAAAAACACGTGGAAATTTCAACATGTTAACATAAAACCTTCAACACACATTGTATGTTCAATGAGTTTGATCCTAATTCTCAGAGAATGGCGCTTTCGCCTGAGACGTCCTTCCACAAAAACGAGCCCCGACCTACCTTCTGGTACCGCAGACCCCGCCTCGGAGCCTCCTGGGGGCGTCCTGGCAACTCCTGGGGCCTCCTGGGGCTTTCTGTACCTACATTCTGGTACCCCAGACCCCGCCTCGGAGCCTCCTGAGGGTCTCCTGGAACCTCCTGGGGCCTCCTGGGGCCTCCTTGCGGCCTCCTGGAGCCTCTTGGAGCCTCCTGGGGTATCCTGGGGCCTCCTGAAGCCGCCTGGGGCCTCCTGGGGCCTCAGAACTACATGCACACACAGAGGCACAAATCACACCCAACACATCACACGCTAGACAAACACAACACACACAACACCTACAACGCACAGAAAAACACGCACAACACAGATCACACATCACACACACGACACTCACAATCCTGGGGCCTGGCACGCCTTGGCGGCACCGCCCCAGCTTCCACTTCTCCATCTCCGATCCCGCCGTCATGGTGTCTTCCTGCTTTAAACGCCCTTTTCAGGTTTTGTTTGCATGAGCCTGGGCACACACGTGCCACTTGTATATATCTATATATTTACATATATATATATACATAAATATATACTAGAACCACGCGCGCGCTTCGCGCGCGCTTAGGTTCTGTCGAGTCACAGACCCAGGAATCGTTGCGAGAAGAAATTGGTGACGCGAAGCGTCTTGGGGGCGTCCTTGGACGTCTGGGGTCTCCTGGGGCCTCTTGAGGGGCCTCCTTGGGGCCTTCTTGGGCTCCATCTGGAAGCCAAGATGGATGCAACAAGAGGGTGCTTGGGCTCTCCGTGAGCTATCCTCTGGTTTTCATTCCCCTGGAGAGGAGAAGGAGGAGGAGGAGGAGGAGGAGGAGGAGGAAGGAGGAGGAGGAGGAGGATGCAGAGGAGGGAGGAGGAGGAAGGAGAGGAGATGTTGGGGCGCTCTTGGGGCCCTCTTGGGCTCTCTTGGGGCTCGTCGGGGCCCTCGTGGGGCCACCTTGGGCTCCTCTCGGAGCTCCAAGAGGAGCCCACAGAGGGGCCCAACATCGGTCACGCGAGAGCTCTTTCGCGTGACCGATGTTGGGGCCCTCTTGGGGCCCTATTGGGCCTCCTTGGGCCCTCTTGGGGTCTCGACGGGGCCCTCGTGGGGCCATCTTGGGCTCCTCTCGGAGCACCAAGAGGAGCCCAAAGAGGGGGCCCAACATCGGTCACGCGAGAGCTCTTCCGCGTGACCGATGTTGGGGCCATCTTGGGGTTCATTGGGCCTCCTTGGGCCCACGTGGGGCTCCCTCGGGGCCCTCGTGGGGCCATCTTGGGCCCCTCTTGGAGCTCCAAGAGGAGCCCAAAGAGGGGCTCAACATCGGTCACGCGAGGGCTCTTCCGCGTGACCTATGCTGGGGCTCTCTTGGGTCCCTCTTGGGCCTGCTTGGGTCCTCTTGGGGTCTCGTCGGGGCCCTCGTGGGGCCATCTTTGGCTCCTCTCGGAGCTCCAAGAGGAGCCCACAGAGGGGCCCAACATCGGTCACGCGAGAGCTCTTCCGCGTGACCGATGTTGGGGCTCTCTTGGGGCTCTCTTGGGTCCCTCTTGGGCCTCCTTGGGCCCACGTGGGGTTCCCTCTGGGCCCCCTCTTGGGCCCGTCTTGGGGCCCTCTTGGGCCATCTTGGGCGCCTCTTGGGCCGTCTTGGGGCCCTCTTGGGCTGTCCTGGGGCCCTCTTGGAAGCTTCTTGGGCCGTCTTGGGGCGGTCTTGGGCGCCTCTTGGGCCGTCCTGTAACGTCGGAAAGCCCAAAAGACAACTTTGTTGAAAATGTACGTTTTACGAAGGGAATGGGCCAATTCTTGCGTCTAGGGGCCCTCTTGGGACGCATGTTGGAGGCTTCTTGGGGCCTCTTGGGGGCGTCCTTGGACGTCTGGGGTCTCCTGGGGCCTCTTGAGGGGCCTCCTGGGGGCCTCCTGGCGGCCTCTTGGGGCGGAAGGCTCGAGCTTGCGGTTCGTGGTCCCCCTCTGGGCCCCCTCTTGGGCCCGTCTTGGGGCCCTCTTGGGCCATCTTGGGCGCCTCTTGGGCCGTCTTGGGGCCCTCTTGGGCTGTCCTGGGGCCCTCTGGGAAACTTCTTGGGCCGTCTTGGGGCGGTCTTGGGCGCCTCTTGGGCCGTCCTGTAACGTCGGAAAGCCCAAAAGGCGACTTTGTTAAAATGTACGTTTTACGAAGGGAATGGGCCAATTTTGCGTCTAGGGGCCCTCTTGGGACGCATGTTGGAGGCTTCTTGGGGCCTCTTGGGGGCGTCCTTGGACGTCTGGGGTCTCCTGGGGCCTCTTGAGGGGCCTCCTGGGGGCCTCCTGGCGGCCTCTTGGGGCGGAAGGCTCGAGCTTGCGGTTCGTGGTCCCCCTCTGGGCCCCCTCTT